TCCTCCGCCAGCTCCCTCAGCACCCTTGGGTGGATCCCATCTGGCCCCATAGACTTGTGGTTTTTTAACCTAGTTTAAAGCCTAAAGTTTTAATGAGTTGCAGCACAGGAACAGGAAACCTTTGGGAGCAGAAATTCTTGAAGTCGTGATTGCAGTTGTGCCCCTCACGTCTTGGAATCCCGGTGAGGAAGCATAAAAAAGAAGGGAGAGGGGGAGGAACTGAAGAGAGAGGGCAGGCAGGAGTAGGAGGGGAATGAAGGAGGAGGTCATACCCCAGTGAACGCCGCACGCCCCAATGTTTTGTAAAAGCTCCCAGCGGAAAATAAAATGAATGCAGATGCTGATTTTCATTACTGTAGGGACTAAGGAAAATGTATTTGTTACATTAAAGATGATGATCTTGGTCTGTCTCCCTTGTAACCATAGTTTTCTGCTGTTAGGGCTAACTCTCAGAGGTAGAACGGAATCTGATCGATCTGGACCTTGAAAGGGAAAAATACGAAATCAAAGATTTCATCTGGTGGGAACTGGGAGACATTTGATGTGCCATGTAAGAACCGTGAGATTTCAAGGTCATGGGGAATGCTACTCTGGCCCTGCACCTAGACACCTCAAATCATCTGCCCTTTTTCTTTCTTCCAAATTTAGGGAGTCCCCTCTTATCCTAACCTGAGGTGTCTTTTGAGGCTGTAGGGTAACTTGCACCTTTGATTTAGATCATTTGGCTCAGAAGGAGGAAGATCTGGCTTTAGCCTGGTTTCCTAAAGGAACAAGGCTTCCTCAGTCATACCCCCCGTGTTCCCAAACCTTGCAAATTTTGGACCCGCTAGCCACCTTCAGTCAGCTTTGACGCACAACACAAAGGCCGCGATTCCCTGGACCGCTGATCAAGTAGTTTGTGCTCCAGGAGCGCGTCCTTCCTAGCCAGTCACTAGGGGCATTCCGGGAACCCGAGCATACCGACTGTTACGCCAGCAACGGCGTAACGTTTGGCCACACAAAGAAAGAGTAAGACCACCTGAACTTCAAGACTAGCTGATGGCTGACAAGGATTTGATAAGCTTGTTTTAGGACACAGTTGAGTGCGCAGACACCAGAGGAGGCAAAGGGAGAGCTGAGGGTACGAGCAGATGATTTATGAACTGAAGCTCAGGGTTTGCGTGGAGACTTCGAGAAGTTCAGCGGAGAGACGTGATCAGGGAGTCAGTGGGGTGCCGACATATGTAACGACCCTGCAGTCAGTAACTACCCTCCCATTTTGAGCCTAATGGGATTCTCTTGGGAATTTACTAAAAATTGCCCTGCTATATAATCTTGTGAAGAAAACGTCCCATGGGAAGGTGGATCAGAGCAGGCAGGGCTGCAGAGAGTTTTTATTATTTAGTGTGAACTACAATTGCTCATCAGCCCACTAGGGACCGAGCTGGTGCTCAGTCAGGACCACGGACCCGGGCTTCATCTTACAGCACATCAGGTCCTAACCCCAGCAGGACAGAAACATACAGCGAGGCGGCATTAGCCTTTGTGTGCCTCCACAGCAGCGGAAGTGTTGGATTATCTTCAGAAGCATTACAAACCGTGCCGCCCTTTGATGAAGCGTCTGATCAGGAACAATTGAGAGGTTTGTACGTAACCTTAAGGCAGCCACATGGACAGTGGCTTTCCTCAGCAAAGAGGTCACACTTGGGGTCTGCGTCCGGTTGCTACCGGGTGAGGAGCAGGAAAGGATGAAAATGGCTCCATCCGCAAACCGAGGCCACCTGGAAGCCACCCTTGGTGGATGGCACAGACCTGATGGGGAGATGTTGGATTGCAGAGGAGCCACATGACTATGAGAAGGTAACGCCTTAGGGTCTACAGCGATAAATACGGGTGTCTATGACATAGTCGGGGAGCTCCAGCTGCTGAAGAGGAGACTGGCAGCAGCGTCCAGCTCTGGGAGCAACGGTCTGGCTCCCGCGTGGCAGAAAAAGGGGCGCCCGGGCAGCTGGTGGTGAAAGTGTGACTCGCAGTAATAAACTTTGGCCATGTGCAGAACAGGGGGCAGATCTGGCCCAAGGTGAAGGCCAAGGCACGTGAAGAGGGAACGCTGGCATCAGGTGGATTTCCCTTTGCCTCTTGGGTGACCAGCGTTGAGGGCAGCTGAATGTCAGCAGCTCAGGACAGATCTGGAACTTGCCTTTCATTGAAAGCACAAGTTCCATCCTAGAGAGGGGATGACAACAGGGAGAAGCGTGTTGAAACGACTCAGATTTAGTACTGGCACAAGAGGAAGATGAAGGAGGAGGTAGTTTGAGCTTGACTGAACAGAGCGGGCAGTACTGATGTATAAAGCAAGGATATTTAGGAACAGACAAACCTGTGGCAATCCTGCAGGATGCAGACGGCAGCCTCGGAGGAGCAGAGGAACGGGGTCGCAGGTAAGGCTCTGCCTTGCAGAGCCGGCTCGCAAGAAGATGTACAGGCTCAGGCAGTGCTCATTATGGCCTCAAAAATCAAGTGGTTTAAAATACAACGAACAAATCTGCACCGAGTCTCTGCTGCCGGGTACATTCAGAAGTTTTATTTATCTTTTCATAATCACATCTAGTCCAATGGAATGAGTCATTATGAAGCAATTTTCCCCAAGTTTCCTCTTTTAAAAGCATTTAGCTTTGCCTGAGTCTCTACTAATGTTTTATTTGTGAATCCAACCATTCAAAAGACAAACATTCAAAACGTGACAGGCAAAAAAAAAAATCTGTAAATAATTACAAAATACAACAAATTTTAGTAAAGAAAATTGAGTACATTTCCATGATTTGCTCCTATATTCAGTTCCAGAAAAATAATAATGAAGTTGGGGGCTTCTCCAATTTTCATATTTTTCAAACCAATCCGAAGAAGCAGCAGAGTCCTTGGTCCACACAACCAGTAGCAGAAACCTGCACCCAGGCGTGGTCCTGCTCCATTTAACTTTGCAGCTTCACATTTTTTTTTTTAACTCTCCATAATTTCACTCCGTTTGTACACATTTTGGTACAAACTGGATCAATTACCTCCAGCTGCCGGGTTGCGGTTGCCTGTTTGCAGGCTGCGGGCAGCGCAACAGTGCACCGCTACAGCGGGGAACCAGATCTCCGGTGAACGGCAGCCGCTGCGCTACCCCGGCTCTTCAGCGCAGGAGGGTACCACTGAATCATGCGATTTACTTCACAGAACGGAACTAGGCAATGCTTGGGCATTTTACTGCCACTTCATCAAACGTTATCAAATATAGCGACAAAAAGCTCTTCATCAAAATCACAATCCCCATATAAAAACATCCCTGGCCTTACTATAGGTTGCAGGTGTTGCCCCTGCACGCTCCAACCCAGAAATAAATACTTGCAAGAAAGGACACTTCCAGAGGTACAGAGAATGATGAAAACAACCAAACATCCAGAAATCTGAACTTCAGAGACCATTTTCGAAGGCAGCAAAGCGAGTATATTCCATAATGAACTGGCAATAACTTTATTTTGTTCTAGAATGGAAAAAAACCCCACACAACACCCCAAACCAAACGCAAAACCAGAACATCCTTTGCAGCAGTGTTAGTTTGGATGCCTTCTGGTGGGACATTTGCCAGACTGATCAGGTTTGAAGCTCACTCCCTGGAAAACGGCTCACTGCCCTGCCCACCTTGAAGCAGCCCGCAGCTGGAGGTCCCTTTTACAGAATACGCGTTTTTCTCAGCTGTATGGCTTTTCAGTGGCTTGTTGCCAAAATCCCTGAGACGTCATCTTCACTCCGAGGAGAGAAGGCACTTCAGAAAAGATACAAGAAGTCAGAGAATTGTAACATACCGGGTTTGTTACAGCGAGGATACTGCAAGACAACTGTGCGTTATGAAACGGACCTGCAGTTTCTGTGAAGGAAGGCGATACAAAACTTCGGTTACGCAGGGCGAGGGGAACCCAATTTTCATGTACTTGCAAGATCAATTTTTCAAAGCTGCCTTTTAGAGTACATACCATGCAGCTTTCTCCTTCCCTCTTCCTCACCAGGTCTTTGGTTCATACCAAATTCACAACAAGACTGCCTCAGACCTCTGTGGCATTTGTAAATTGATGCGGGAGTGAGCGAGCACCACCCTCAAACCTGCTTCTAGCCACTAAGGACCCGATAGCCACTCGGTAGGCACTTCTGTAAAGATCAAGATTGAAAAATGTCATTTTCTTTCTACTGTTGGAATTCATTTTACTCAAATCTCCTTCCTTCTGTCTGCACCTAACCTTCCTGTGACAAGGCAGTTCAGCCTTGTTTTTCAGAGCTGACCAGAAACTGGTCTTTTTGAAAAGCACTATCCCTTGGAGGTCCGGCACCACAGCTCCGTCAGGTGCCTAAACCCCTCCTCATCAGTTGCTGAAACGAGGTCTGACACACAGCAGTGCCACACACTGCTTGTGCTCCACTGCACCAGTCCAGCGGACAGCCTTTTGACACTGCAGCACGTGTAGCTGACACTTCATACACACCGCGGGTCGGGTTTATCGCTGTTGACAGGCCTTCCTGGGTTGCAGTGCTGGACCGTGAACTCCTCTATGCTTTTATTGTGTGTATCTGAAACTTGCATCCCCACGAAGCTGGGTGTGACAGTGTCTACAGAGGTAGGCCTGATGCCCTGCTTATTGCTAGAGACCCAGGGTTGAAAGTCAGCCCGATCATAGCCATCTTCGCTTGAGTGCTGGAGAAGACCTTGGTATGCAGAATCTGAAAGCGGAAACGTGCGAGGCTCCCAAGGCTGTACTTTCTGCGGAGTGAAAAGGAGAGAAGGAAGTTGCCGAAATCAAAAGCCTAGAATCAAGAACTCTACGATACCATCTCCTCCCTGTCCATGCCAGTCTGCTGAAAGACCAGCAGATTCGATTTAGAAAGCTAGCTCTAAGTTTGCCAGGGTGCCAGAGCAAAGTCAAGTTTTAAGAGCAATGAACACTGCGCTATTCACAACGTTTCCAGGATCACCAGTTCAGCTTTCCGTTGGTATCAAGACTACTGCCTTGCCATCTCCACTGACACGCCTTGCTTCTCACACTCTCGTTATCTGAAAAGGCTTCCAAAGCAAACGCTGTGCACTTGGGCCCAAACCAAGGACAGATCTGGTATGAAGTGTAAGACTGTGCTTGTAAGACTTTGTAAGACCATCCCTAAGGACGAGAGGAAGTTCAATTCCCCTGGTAGTTTCAGAATTTAATCCTTAACAAAGTTAACTCCTTCTGCCAAAGAAGTATCCCATGATGTGTGCAACTGCCTGAAACTATTTGCTTTCATGCAGGTGACTCAGTCCCACCCACTAGGGGTAATCTCAAACTCTGGGTCAATATGGTTTTAGAATTAAACTATGACATAAAGAAGAATAATCTACCCCGCTCTGAATCCTTTAGCCAGCCCCGGTCTCAGCAGACACACAAGCTGAGCTCTCTTTTGAGCAGTGTGAAGCTCATGCAGCTTTCAGAAAAGTTACTTTCTGTACCAGTAAAATTGTTTTAGAAAAGAACGTGCAAGCTGAAGCCAGCTGACATTTTACAGCGTAACCTCACCTGTATTGCATCATCAAGCATTTCCAGGGAAGATTGGGTGTCTTCACAGCAAGGCAGCGCCACTCCGGTCCTACTGTGGACAGCGAGGGATTGCAAATCGTTGCAACCAAGGGCTGTGCAAGCCAGTAGAAGGGTGGACATAGAGATCATTAAGGCAATTAAATCCAGTAACTGGAGACGCTGGCTGGGGCTGCCCAGCCCATCGGCCATCTGCTTTGTTGGACGACCTAAAGCAAAGCAGTATTTGTAGCAGTCAGTTATGTATAACAAGAAACCCAAGTAAAAATGAGATCACTGTACAGTGAAAAATGTATGCTTTATCCCCTCTATACAATAAGATGAGATCACATTGCCCAATTGGTGCTTTAACTCATTAGCCCTTTCTCTCCTGTCATCTCTTCAAAGAGCATCTCATGGCTTCTTGGGCAATCACTGTCCGTTTCACTCATCCTGCGCATGAAGAGAACGATTAAGCATCACGAGAGATTAAAACCTTGTGAAAAGAAGTGAGACAGCAGAAAACCACACCAGCTACTAGAGGCAAGACTGCTCTATCTGCAGCTGCCTGGAGGTACGCCAACATTCTCCCCCGGCGTGACTACACTGTTTTGGCCTTTTTCCGGAGGTATGGATTACTAACTGTATGACGCGTCAGTCCCTCTCCCTACTCAATAACTTGTGAAAACATCACGCAGCTTCAGCTCTGGTAGAGAGGCAAGGATCGCAAAAATACGAAACTCTCAAAATACCATGAAAGCAGAGACAGACCTACAACTGCCCCCACCGAGGGAAAGGCAGAGAATTCAGCTTTTACCCACGCAAACAGGACGCGTGTACCTCCGGACACAGAACAGACTGTTCTTTGTCCAGGCAACGGGTAAAAAGGTAAGGAGATACAGCAAATGAATTGAAAAACAATCTCCGTAGCAATGAGTTCTGCCAAATTTATTAAGTAAGCCAGAGGAAAAATGCTTGGAAGAGGTATGAAGTACTACAGTTAACACAAAGCTCTCAGCACGAGCCTGAGCTTAGTAGGAAGGTAATTTTTAACAGGACTGTGACACGCTGCGTTACTGTTCCACTGATTAGGCCCTACTTTAATCAATGTTTTGCTTCTGTTATGTAATAGACTTATATGAGCAAAATGACGGGCACCCAAGGATCTCTTCATTTAAAAGAAACTTCTTGAATCAGGATCTCTACAATTTAAGATGAAGAACGAATAAAGCCGCCTTCTTCCGTGTCTGCTAGCAAGAACAGTACCTGCTTCCTCGCTTATGGGAAGTAGCTGCTGCCCAGGAATCCCAGCGGGCTCGTTCAAGATCTTCGTATTTGGAGTGATGACTCAAGTACATCTCATCAGAAGTATCCTCCAGCTAGGAAGAGAAGTTTTGTCTGAATACTTAGAGCATGAAATCTCACCCGCAGGCCAAGCCTACTGTTCTAGAAATCCAGGTAAGCAATAGCTAACCCATTCAGACTGCCTGGGAACCAGCACACACACTTTGTATCGCTACCTCATTTTCATACTTTTCGTTATGAACTGAATTGGGAACTTGTTCGTCAGCCTGAATTGTCAGACAGATGCAGGCTGTTGTACGCACCATAGAAAGAGCTACCGTGGGCATTACATCATGCACGATGAGAGGGTTTGTTCTGCCTGCAGCTACCAGCGGTGACCCACAGCTGACATGCCACTGCAAGCCTCATCTCTGCTGGCCTTTCGCTGGCTTCAGATGCAACTGCATTGGGCAGAACTGAACGGCACTTCATACAGCGACTTTGCTTACTGGGCTGGCAGAATTTAGTGACTGGTAAAGACTGACTCTAGAGCTACTCGTGCCATTTGCACCTTCTCAGAATGGCTACGGGCATTTGAGACAAATCGACAAAACTTTTCTTACCTCAGAGTCCGCTTGATTGAAAGGCTCCAGTTCCTCGAGCTCTACTATCCTCCAGCTGCAAGGGGCAACACAAGCTAGAGATCACTTCAAAGAAAAACACGTTTGGTACTAACATTTAAATCATGGCAATACTAATACCTCTTTTTTTTTTAAAATTCTTTTTTATCCATTAGGAATAGTTTCCTTATGTCATTTCATTGAGAGGAACAGCTCATTCTGCCCAGCTAAAGCCGTTTCCTCCTGTCACCCACAGGAGAGAGGATCAATAAAGCCTGGTCTGTAGATACCTCGGTACTACAATCTCTTTGTACTGAGGCTTCTCCACTCGAGTGGCAGCTCAGCTGCCATTGACATTGGGATCACAATGTTATCGATGTCGTAGGAACATTCCACTTTTCTTCTTTTTGAGGACTGCTGAAACACAGAATGAAGAGAAAACCCCATGCAGAAAGTTAATGTTGGCCCAAAAGCGTATTTGGGTATACCACAGAATGCAACTTCTCCGTAACAGCAAGCGCAGTGGGCTCTTTCCACTGTCACTGGCGTTCACTGATATTTTGGTCATGTTATAAAACCTCTATGGTTTGGCTTATTCCTACATGAAGCAGGATAATACTTAACCTATCTCAGTGGGCGGGATTTCACCTATAACTCACTCTATATATATAGGTCATCCGTGTCACAAAAAAATAACTTAAACAGGCAAAGAAAAAGGCTATGATGATAATTCAAGAAGTAAAAACCTGTCATTTCAGTAGACTAAAGGAGCTGTACCTGTTTCGCCTTGCAAAATAAGGGTTGAAAAGGAAAAAGTAAAACAAGTAAACCCATGGAAGAACACCACCTTCCTGAGGCGGAGGATGCCGCTGTTGAGACAACAAATGGCAGTATCACAGCGTTTGGGCTGGAAGTCAGAGTATTTCCAAATCAAGGAGCGAGGCTCTGGAACAACGTCCTAGGAACAGTGGGATGAAGAGATCCCTAAGTAGTTTTGAGATGCGTTTTGATCAGTTTATAAAGAGGGCCATATACTGTGGTTCCCTGCAGAGCTGGAGATTAGACCTGCAATCCAGAACGGAAGCGTACCCCTTACTTACAAGCCAAGAAGTCTCCAAGGTGCTACAGTTCTTTTGTTCCGTTCTCAAACAAACGTCCTTTTGTTTCTAGGTAGAGAGGCCAACCACAAATTGAAGTTCCCGGTGGCCACAAGGATAGCTATGGCTTATTACTGATGTAATATTATTTAAAAACCTTAATAGGCATAGGACTACTCGGAAGCATCCTTAAAAATCTGTTTAGGAAGTACAGACTGTACCTGGAAGAAGAGCTTACAAAAGAAGCAGCCAGCTCAGGGTTGGACTGTTAAATCTTCTGTGCATCAGAGAGGGAGAAGAGCACTTGCAAAGAAAGCACTAACAACACGGGAGCCAAAAAACCAGAAAATGAGTAGCTGATGCAAGTGAAATGGGCGTAACAGGGACTGCAGGCTCCATGGAGGAGCCCACTACCCCCTTCTACAAGAGTCCAGTGAAGATCCACAAGTACTGTGTCGATCTCCATGAGACGGACCTGAAGCACACCACAGTTGGACCTAGAAAAAGCTACTTGAGAGCCTCAGCTCTGAGAAAGGTCTGTTTCTGTCAGTTAGACCTAACAATTACCTATAAGCAAAGAGAGGAAGGGAATAGTGGTAAGGATAGGAAGTCTGAGCCCCTGTCCTTCAAGGTTTCCTTTGCTCAACGTACTTGGAGAACCAGGAGTTACTCAATGCCTTCCTAGAGAAGTGGTTGTTGCGGGATGTATTTTTTTAATCCTTTCCTAGTTGTAGAAAAACAAGAAAGTGTTACAGATAATCTCTTGGCTGATGTTCCTGCTTCTTATGGGGAAGTCCATAGCAATTAAATCTCTACTATTAATTTGTAGCCAAATAAAACCGTAACATTGTGTGTATATAACTATTTGCTTGCAAAAAAAAAAAAGGAATCAGTAGAGTATGGTCAGTACCAAAGTTGAAACCAACCAATCTGGTTGGGGAAGCAGTGCCGCAGGCACCTAGCCAGCTGAGCACTGCCTGAGGAAAAACGAAGCAGCACGTAGCTGTTGCTGTTTAACACCAACATCCAAACTGCATTTCCCAGCAGTCCGTTAGCAGTAACAACCCATCCGAATTCCCAGTGAGCTTGCAGCCCCAAGGCAATGCTCGGTCAGAGAGGTATCCCAGGCTACCCCCCCTTTTCAGATTCATTTGCCACAGCTTTTGTTTCAACTCACCATTGCTGAGATGCCAGTGAAAGGGATTGGGCTGGAAGAACGGGCTGGAGGAGTCTCTGGGTACAAGGACGGCGGGTGGTGCAGAGAACTGTATTCATGCGCCCAAGGACTGGAAACAGGAAAGCTGTGACTGGATGTTCCTTTAAGCTGCCTTCTCCCTTCAAACAATGAAACTGTTAATAAAACAGATCCTGTGCCCAGGGAAGGGGTTGAGTCACCATCCCTGGAGGTATTTAAAAGACGGGTAGATGAGGCGCTGAGGGACATGGTTTAGTGGGCATGGGGGTGTTGGGTTGATGGTTGGACTCGATCTTAGAGGTCTCTTCCAACCTTAATGATTCTATGATTCTATAAAATGCGAACAGACAAACCAAGGTGAAGTCAGGCTGACTCAGGACTGGTGGGTGATGTTGCTACCCCCGTAAGGTCACCAAACCCGCCCTGGGGAACAGAGGGCAGAACAGACATCGGCATTAGAGAACAAATGTAAAACAGACGCCTCAAGTGAAGCGTCAGTGCTCTGCAGCACTGAAGATGCTAGCCCAAAAACGTTACTTTTGGTGGGCAATCCCACAATAAAGTGGAAGGTGAAGTAGGTGTTACAGCCATCAAGAACTGCACTCCTCAGTCCAAAACACAGCCACTTAAAAAAGCTTCTTCACTGCAGAACTGGTCAGGCTGGTCCTATTTCAAACAATCAGTCCGATGACAAACCACACCGATTTTAAGACAAATGTACTCTTCTCCCTGAAGTCCTGTAGAACCTCAGCTTGATATGCTTTTTCTCCATCAGTTAACTTTTTATTCTTTTTCCCATTTGTGACTGGCTTATTCCACGCTGAATACCACAAATGGAGAAATCTTCCAAACCTATTGTGCCAAATTACTCCACTATTCAAATCCTTCCTAAAGATCTAGCTCTGTGAGGCTCTTAGAGAGTTAAAAATATATGAAAATCATCCTGCATTACTGCATCATCCATTAAAACACACTCTTCACAGTAGGTGTCTACGCGCGCGCACACACACCCCCATACATGCTGCCCATAAATAATAAGTTTTTGTGTAGTCTTGTGGCTAAATATTTGAAAAAAGGAAGGAGGTATAGAAAGATAAATCAGTTAAAAGTCAAACAGCTGCTGACCAGCTGATAGAATCTATACCGGTGTGTTGTTCAAGCATCCGCTGGTAGGTTCCTCACATTTACTGAACACTAACCACCTGCTTGTTCTGCCGTCAGTACATCCTGAGCTGATTACGGGAAGGATGATCTCTCTCCAGAACACCTCTCTTAGAAAGCAACATCCATCCCCATTCAAAGCTAAGCAACCTCAGCCCAGACTCAAACATCATTAAATCAAGTTGTAGCTCCGATTGTTAGGGCCAAAACCACACAACCTGAACCTGCTGATGTACTTTCAGCACGGAAGCTGTTTTGGGCTTTTTTTGTTCACTTGGTTTTTGTTTTGTTGTTTTTTTTTTTTTTTTTTTTTTTAAATACTATCTGGATTGTTCATGATAGTTTGCTTCAGCAACCACAGAACATAAAGAATATTCCAGATGCAGCAACTGTGTCCCGGAAGAATGTCAAGGACACGGCCAGCTTGCAGTCTGCACGTTACGCTACTTTCAAAAAATGATCTGGCATAAAAACACGCCTTTTAAAAGAAGGCCAAATGAAACACCAACTGTAGTTCGTTTAAAAACCAGGATGTGTTTTAGCTGGGTTTCCCTCTTCCTGTCTTGAAACTGGTTTGAGTCTTCTGTCACTTACCTTAAACTGCTGTAGACCATTACAAAAAAAAAAAAAATCAACTCTGACAGGCTGATGAAAAAAATTAGGCTTTCCAAAGCCGCAAGAGCAGCATGCAAATGGAACAGCAATTGCTATCACAGCAGAAAACACACACTAGAATTTTGCCAGGCAAATACTGCTCTACTCCGATTTCAAATAAAGGTTCAGAAAAGCTTCTTTTTGGGTTGCTTGTTCCCTTGAAAGAAATACAGAGAATGGCAAGATTTATTGATTTGTTTTTAATAACTTGGCTGAGGCAAGTATTTCTGTGTCCCTCCAAGGGGGTCAGAATTTCTGTGGTTTGCAAGATGTTGGACTCAGTCACTTAGACATTATTACAGAACAGAGTTCAAATTGTCTTCCACTGGAAGAAAGTGAGCTACCTTCTCCACTCTACCTTGACTGGTTGCCCTCAGGTACTGGTTAAAAGCCCACGTTTAATTTTTTAACTTCATCTCAAACTCCATTTTACTTAACTTACAGGAGGCAAGCAGGAGCGAAGAGTGTAGGTTTGGGAATGTGCTGTTAGTTGGATCTTGTTTCTTTCCAAAATGGGACATCTTCAGAGTCTTGAGTTCACGGCTCAGTAGTCTATGCAATCCGTCCTCTCTTAATAAGGTTTCAAAGTGCAAGTGGAGAGGGTTGCCTGAAAGTAGAAAAAACAAGTTATTTTGGTAAGCACAAGTTCTCCTCTTTTCATATGCGCAGCACTGCACACACATCATTAGCAACCCACACCTGTTAGTACTTCAGTAAGAGCATGAGGTGACACAGCTAACTAAAGCAAGCGTGGTCGGTTGCAGGCTCTCTCGCCCCATGCGTGCTGCGCCAGAGAGAACAGGATGAGAACGTCCCCAGAACAGCAGCCTCTGCCCTGGCCCTCTGCTAGATGCAATCTGACAGCCAGAACCTGATACCTTGCCATCGAGCTCCCTCACCCTAACGCTACGCTAACCTGAATCATATCCAGCTACATATTACTTGGCACTTGTTTGCATCATTATTTAGCGAGCAGAGATGAGCTTATACTTTTTTTTTTTTAAGTGATAAAAATATTTTGAGAGATGCTCTCATAGTGGCACAGTAGAAAAAGTATTTTCCTCACCGTCCCTTAACCTACTCCGTAACTTCTTGGTGCACATTCTTGCTCTTCCATGGTTAAAGGCACTAGCAGTGCCGCAGCCACTGTTGTCCTTCAGTTATTTAAACAGAAACTAAATGTTAAGGTTCTACCGAGCATAGTTCATAAAAGTAACCACAGAGCACATCTAGAAGGCCACAGGTCTTTAAATAACGAGCGCTTAGACTCAAACAGTGATTTCACACTCAAAACTGGTGCTAGAGGTCTACCAAACAACTGCCACCCCCCTCGTCAAAATCAGCATTAGATTTTCAGTCTTTCAAGTAGCCCCCCAGGGCAGGGGTGTAACAGGAACTTACAATAGTTGTTCTGCAAAGCCTCCAGAATTGGAATGTTCCTTGCGGAAGACACAGAGAGCTGATCCTTAAGAAGTGATCTAAGCTTACGTTAAACTAGAGATGGGAACTGCCTCAGACGCAGGCCAAAGACACAACGCGGTTTCCTAGGCTCAGAAATCTCCACAGACTGCACCCTTAGACTGAAGACGACATGTCTGGTTACCATGCAGAACACCACCGGACATTTTTCATTATCCCCTAGAAACATACTTACAACTCCGTTAGCATGTTTTTAACCTCCTTGGACGTAAGGAGGAAGAGCAAAGAGGGCAGTG